GAGTACCAAGGAGTCTGGGGATGATCCTCTACGGGAGGAGCATGGAGAAGAGGGAGACCAAACAATCAAGGGAAAAGGAGAACAACAACCGGTGACATTCCACAGGGCCAGCGGGACGCAGTAGGCCACAGCTCAACACCCTCGGAGTGCGGAGAAAGCAGTTCTAAAAGTCAGCGCTTACATGCAAAGGTTTACTTTTTTTAAATATTACTTTATACTGTCTACTACTTCATAATACATGCACATTTGTGCATATTTTCACTAATGTCAATTATTCTGTTCTGAAAGCACATGCAATACATTAAAAATTAATGCAAATGGAACCATATTTGTAATGTTTGTATGTATATTACACTAAAAAACAAGCTTTATGACTTTTTGTCGGACTACCAGCCACTTAAAAACATATCAAACATACGAAAATGTGACCCAATACAACCATGATTTGTAATAATACACTTTACTTTTTACAGCTATACTTTCATATAGTTGTTCAAGTTGTTCAATGTTAAAACATGTGCAACAATTAACAAATACAAACACACAAAGGCTGAAAATGGACATGCTAAAATATACACTTTGAATATAGATCAGAAGTAATCATAAACATATTTGGATATTTCCTCTGAGCCAGGACTCATAACAATGTGCTTCAGTCATATGACAGCCAAGTAACTGTCCATGGTGCTGTTTGTAGGAGCTGTCCATGGTTCTTTTGAATCATTCCCTGGTTTAACACTTAAACTCGAGCCAAGATTTTTTACTGTAGCAAGTTTATCTTCTGCGTAGTACTTTGCAGCCAGTATATGGTCATAATTAAATGACAAAAAAATGTTAAAAACAGCAGAATTTTAATAGGCTCTGAAAATTTGCTGCACAACACAGTACTTAATTAGCTCCATCTTGCAAACTGCCCTTGACGACAGAACACATTTTAAAATGTTCCATCATACTTTCCAAGATTTTCTAGTTTAAATTTGATTTTAGTAGAATTTTAAAAATAGTTTGCAAAATCTATTTTTATACGTGGATCATAAGAACATAAGAACATATTTATATTTTTTAAAATAGTAAATTGAAGGGTGAAAGGTGAAATGGAAGGGGATATTACTGTCATGGATTTATGTAATTTACATTACAGACTTCCGAAGTTCTATGGCTCCATTTAGCTTGTTGGTTTCCATAAGTTATAAAGACTTAGTGTACTTTGCCAATGCTTAGGCCCATAGGCATCATAGGTTCTAGGTTCATGGGTTCTAACCCCCCCAAATAATCAAAACTACCCAATACAACCACCAGGACCCCTTTAAACGGGTGAAGACCTCCACCTCTCCAATGCTGAAGCCAAAGTTTTGCTTTTGCTTAGGCCTGTTCTTAAATTGCAGCGTACAGGCCTTTCCAGCAGATCCACACGGGGTCACTGTTTACCAAGAAGCCGCAGCTCCGACTGTAGGGCGCGGACTCCTCCTATACGCTGTTGTCGATTAGCTCAACCTTCAGTATGCCTTTGTTAGTGAATTTGCAGAGAAACGTGGAACGTCTTTTTCGGGATTATGCTTGTTGTTGTTCAAAGATCACCTTCTTCAATCTTGTTTTGAACTGGGGCGATGCTTGGAATAAATGGTCTTAAATGCTTATTGGCGATGTGCGTATCCAGGGGAACGAAGTGCTCACGGGCCGCAGGCCTTTTCGGGCTTTTGCTTTGCTTGCGGAATGTTGCATCGGAACAAATTTTATACACTGTTTCTGAGGAGGTAAGTCGGGGAACATTTGTTGGAAATGTATCGAAGGACCTGAATATTAGAGTAACCGAACTGGAATCGCGCATGTTTCAGATTATAGCGGGATCAACTAAGAAATATTTTGAAATAGATTTAAAAACTGGAATTCTGTTTGTGAATGAAAGAATAGACAGAGAAGAACTGTGTTCGAACAGCCAAATATGCTCTATGAAACTGGAAGCAGCCGTAAATTTTCCTTTAACCCTGTTTCGTATTGAAATTAATGTAAGAGACATAAATGACAACGCTCCAATTTTTTCAGAAAAATCAAAGAACATTAAAATCGCCGAATCGACTGTGGTTGGAGCAAAATTCCCCTTGCTTAATGCAGAAGATCCCGACGTCGGGAGCAACTCTGTGAAAACGTACAGACTCAGTTCAAATGAATATTTTGCTCTCGAGGTGAACAGCGACAGCGATCCAGTGTCTGCTGAGTTAGTGCTGCAAAAAGCTTTAGACCGAGAAAAACAGGCGGTGATCCGACTCGTACTGACGGCTGTTGATGGAGGAAAACCTCCGAAATCCGGGACAAGTGAGATAATCGTTAATGTGCTGGATGCAAACGACAACGCGCCAGCATTTGACCGCACATTATACAAGGTTCGGGTTGCTGAAAACGCTCCGCCGGGAACAGTAATAATAAAACTCAAAGCAACAGATCCCGATGAAGACATAAATGGAGAAATTATTTATTCCTTTAGCACCGAAGGTTCGAAGAACATCTTGACAATCTTTGCGATTAATCATTCTACTGGTGAAATAAAGGTTATCGGGAACCTCGATTACGAGGAGAGTAGCGCCTATGAAATCCGAATTGAAGCTAGAGACAGAGGGCATACCCCTCTGGCATCGCACTGTAAAGTCCTGGTGGAAGTAACTGATGTGAATGACAATGCCCCAAATATCAAAGTAACGTCGCTTGTGGATGAAATCAGAGAGGACGTGAGGCAAGGAACAGCCATTGCACTGGTAACAGTTTCTGACAAGGACAGTGGGAAAAACGGTAACGTACATTGCTCAATTTCTGGATCATCTTCATTCTCATTAGAAAATTCTTATAGCCATTACTACTCTTTAAAAACAATATCGGATCTAGACAGAGAAAGCGTTTCTCAATACAACTTGACAATCACAGCTACAGATGATGGATCCCCGCCTCTCTCCAGCACCAGCGTCATAACCGTGCACGTTTCCGATGTGAACGACAACGCGCCGCGTTTCGTACAGCCGATAATAAATATCTATTTAAAAGAGAACAATCAGATCGGCACCTTTATATATACTGTGTCTGCGGCTGATCCGGATGAAAATGAAAACGCTCGAGTTTCTTACTCGCTTATTGAAGGTTCTTCAGCCAGTGTTCCGCTTTCTAGTGTAATAAACGTTAATTCGGCCAGTGGGGAGATATACAGCTTACAGTCTTTTAACTACGAAGAAATGAAAACGTTTCAGTTTCAAGTTCAGGCCACAGACTCTGGTGAGCCTCCTCTAAGCAGCAACGTGACCGTGAAGGTTTTTATCCTGGATGAGAATGACAACAGTCCTGGGATCCTCCTGCCCTATACGGACCAGGGCTCCGTCAGTACTGAGAGCATTCCCTATTCTGCCGAAGCGGGCTACTTCGTGGCCAAGATCAGAGCTGTAGACGCGGACTCTGGTTATAATGCGCTGCTCTCTTACCACATCGCAGAACCCAAGGGAAGCAACCTGTTTAGAATCGGAACCAGCAGCGGGGAGATACGGACAAAGAGGCGAATGAGTGACAATGACCTGAAGACTCACCCGCTGGTCATTTTGGTTTCTGATGGTGGAGACCCATCCCTGTCAGCCACTGTGTCTATTGACGTTGCGGTTGTTGAAAGTAACAGTGAAATTCAGACTCAGTTCAGGCATCTTCCGACCAAAGAGGAGAGTTTTTCGGACTTAAACCTGTATTTGCTGATCGCCATCGTGTCAGTGTCGGTGATATTTCTGCTGAGCCTCATCAGTTTGTTAGCCGTGAAATGCCACAGGACGGACACCAGTTTGAGTAGATACAGCGCTCCGGTGATCACCACACACCCCGACGGGAGCTGGTCTTACTCTAAATCCACCCAGCAGTATGACGTGTGTTTTAGCTCAGACACGCTGAAGAGTGACGTAGTGGTTTTCCCGGCGCCGTTCCCACCTGCAGATGCTGAACTGATCAGTATTAATGGGGCTGATTCTTTGAAACGGAACCACACACTGCCGACCCGGGAGAAGGTAAGACTGTAACTTAACTATCATTTTGTTGGAAATTATTCATTTGCATCTTTTTACTTCAGCTTGTGTCTGAAAAATTTTCTGTGTGTTGACTTCGGAGGAAAAGCCGCTTTTAACATGTGGGTCTTAAAGGTAACGAACCGGAACCGTGAAAGTTTCAGCTGGATCCAGCAGGAAATATTTAGAAAGCCGCTTTTTACATGACGAAATTTACATCTAACTTTTCACTGATTATGAATCTTACAATTTTTTCTTATTGTACTTTGTATAGTGGAAAGAATGAAGACGTTTTTGTGTCTTAAACATTACTTTTCCCTTTTTAATATGTACTCTATATAATAGGCCTATGTTCTATAAACGAAACCTGAAGGTGCGTTGTTAACCACCCTTGTACAGAATCATCTGAAGAATATCGCTTGACTTTGTTTGACTGCAACTGGAGAGGAAAGTTTAAAAGTTAGGGTCTTTGTCAAGTAGCTGCTTTCGAAATATGAGCAACATCATTATTTCAAGTTAGCAATAATTAATGTTGACATTACTGAAGTAGGCAGAAATTTAGCACATTACTTTTCAGAAAAGTTGTATACTTTTCCTGTTTGGCACTATTAGATATTTAATATATATATGAAGATACTTATACATGCCATATATTTACGGTTCATCGACAGAAAAATATTTTTCTTTAATATTTGAGAAATATACAATAGGCCTACTAATACTATGGAGATGAAAGTCAGTAATATAGCCTATTATTCATTGCATATAGTCAAAATTAATAATCTAAAAACAAAACCAGACAGTGGTGTCAGTAAATTAAAATTTTAAGATGTTATAAATTCAATATATGTTAATTGGACTCTGCTTGCGTCAGATACTCTGAGAAACACATGGTGTCGCTGTGGACCGCGGTTTAAAAAATGCACTGTCTACTCTGGGCCCCACCTTCAATGTGATGTAGAACAGAATGATGTTTGCTGAAAGGAGAAGCTGTACCGTGATGTGTTCGGATATAATGCGGAGTTTCTCTGCCGTCGCCGCTTGTTTTATTTTTAAATAAGCCTAGGCCTATATGTATCTGTGGTATAATATGCAGATGATTCTCACATAAGAAGCATCGGATGAGAGGAAAACGGCAATGGGGGATGTTATTCACGTGAAATGTGTCAGGATATGGTTACTGACACTCCTTTGTTTGTGGGATCCATCCTCTGGGCAGATTGTGTACTCCGTGTCAGAGGAGGTGAACAAGGGAACCGTGGTTGGAAATATAGCGAAGGATCTGGGTCTTAAAGGTAATGATCTGGAGCCGCGGATGTTTCAGCTGGTATCGGGATCCAGCAGGAAATACTTTGAGGTAAATTTGAAAACTGGTGTGTTGTTTGTGAATGAGAGATTAGACAGAGAAGAGCTGTGTCCTGGTGCTCAGAAATGTAATTTATTTTTAGAAGCCATTATTCACAATCCTCTAAACCTTTATCGTGTAGAAATTAATATCTTAGACGTAAATGACAACGCGCCATTTTTTCCACGGAATAAAATCGAGTTAAATATAACAGAAAATGCTACTCCGGGGGACCAGTTCTCTATTCTTATGGCAGAAGATCCCGATGTGGGCAGTAACTCGTTAAAGACTTACAAGCTGAGTCCGAATGAACATTTCACTCTGGATGGACAAGGTGGCGGAGAGCAAAGTGCATCTGCTGAGTTAGTGCTACAAAAAGCTTTAGATCGAGAGAAACAGGCCACGATTCCACTCGTACTGACTGCTATTGACGGAGGCAAACCTCCTAGATCCGGGACACTACACATCATCGTGAACGTGATGGACGTCAACGACAACAGCCCAGTGTTTAACAAACCATTGTACAAGATTCAACTGGATGAGAATGTTCCATACGGCACCCCGGTTATAACACTAAATGCTACCGATTTAGATGAAGGCCTAAACAGTCTGATACAGTACTCCATCGTTGAGCACAAAAGCGTACATTTAGATACGTTTAATGCTGATCCCCATACTGGCAGAATCACCGTAAAAGGAAGAATTGATTACGAGGAAAATCCTGCGTTTGAAATCCGTGTAGAAGCTACAGATAATGGCGTCCCACCACGTAGTACACAATGTAAAGTTCTAATCGAAGTTATTGACTTGAATGACAATCGTCCTGAAATCTCAGTCACACCACTACTGAAGAGTCTAAGGGAAGACGCGAAAAGTGCAACAGCTGTTGCATTGATAACACTTTCTGATAAAGATACGGGTAAAAATGGAATGTTGAAGTTTGAAATAATTGGTCCATCACCTTTCAAACTGCAATCTTCATTTAAAAACTATTACTCACTGGTTGTTGACGGACCGCTAGACAGAGAGAAAGTTTCTGAATATAACGTCACCATCATAGCTACAGATGAGGGAACCCCGCCCCTCTCCAGCACTAGCGTCATTACTGTGCACGTTTCTGATGTGAACGACAACGCGCCGCGTTTCCCAGAGCCGTTGATAAATATTTATGTAAAAGAGAACAATCAGATCGGCATCGTTATATATACCGTGTCTGCGGCTGATCCGGATGAAAATGAAAACGCCCGAGTTTCTTATTCGCTCATTGAAGGCTCTTCAGCCAGTGTTCCGCTTTCTAGTGTAATAAACGTTAATTCGGCCAGTGGGGAGATATACAGCTTACAGTCTTTTAACTACGAAGAAATGAAAACGTTTCAGTTTCAAATTCGGGCCACAGACTCTGGTGAACCTCCTCTAAGCAGCAACGTGACCGTGAAGGTTTTTATCCTGGATGAGAATGACAACAGTCCTGGGATCCTCCTGCCCTATTCGGACCAGGGCTCCGTCAGTACTGAGAGCATTCCGTACTCTGCCGAAGCGGGCTACTTCGTGGCCAAGATCAGAGCTGTAGATGCGGACTCTGGTTATAATGCGCTGCTCTCTTACCACATTGCGGAACCCAAGGGAAGCAACCTGTTTAGAATCGGAACCAGCAGCGGGGAGATACGGACTAAGAGGCGAATGAGTGACAATGACCTGAAGACTCACCCGCTGGTCATTTTGGTTTCTGATGGCGGAGACCCATCCCTGTCAGCCACTGTGTCTATTGACGTCGTGGTTGTTGAAAGTAACAGTGAAATTCAGACTCACTTCAGGCATCTTCCGACCAAAGAGGAGAGTTTTTCGGACTTAAACCTGTATTTGCTGATCGCCATCGTGTCAGTGTCGGTGATATTTTTGCTGAGCCTCATCAGTTTGTTAGCCGTGAAATGCCACAGGACGGACACCAGTTTGAGTAGATACAGCGCTCCGGTGATCACCACACACCCCGACGGGAGCTGGTCTTACTCTAAATCCACCCAGCAGTATGACGTGTGTTTTAGCTCAGACACACTGAAGAGTGACGTAGTGGTTTTCCCGGCGCCGTTCCCGCCTGCAGATGCTGAACTGATCAGTATTAATGGGGCTGATTCTTTGAAACGGAACCAAACACTGCCGACCCGGGAGAAGGTAAGATTGTAATGCCGTTACTGTTGTCATTCTGAAATATGACTTCGCAATTTCAACTTGTTTTTCATTATATTTTCCTATACACTGAATATTATTTAGTTGTTAATCAGCTATAGCTTGATTGAATTTGATCTGTCATTCTTTGCATACAAATTCATTTTTTGTTTTCTGGAAATGAGCAGCCTTAGAGGAGATGTCTTTAGTTGTTTTACTGAGATTTCTGGCTAACCAACAAACTGCACTGTGGATGTGCAAATATTTCACAACTTTGTAACGCCTTTTTGAAGACGTTGCAAATCACACTCTAATCTCTTATTTTTGCTGCATGAGAACTGACCACTAAAACATCCGTGCCTAACTTTTTACTGACAATGAGCCTTTTTACAATTTTATACACTTTTGTTTGTACAATGATCATAATGTAAACGCATTTTATCTCGAGTTACCGATTATCCTGGAAACGGTTATGTCTGTCTCGTTGACATGCACATTTAATATGTTTTTATATTACTTTCCATTTTATGAAGCACTCCAAAGAAAAATTATTACCCGATTTTGCCAGGTGGAAAAAAATAATCATTATTGTGGCAATCTATTGATATTAAGCCATCGAAATGTAACATAACATCGTGGCAGTTTTTCCGCAAACGTTGACTCCTCTAAAATACATGAGAAATGTTTATCATATTGGCATTTGGACATGCGCACTAGTAGTATGTTATTTATTGAGTACAATGAAAAGTAATTGCGCTGCACAAGGAAGTCAGTTCTGTAAATTTTATTTTTACTCCAATATTTTATTCAATTTGGAATAGCCTAACTATGGTCCCTGCGGCCCTGATCTAGAGAAATCGGTTGTAATATAGATTGATACATAGCAAATGTGAGTTTAATCCAATTTATCTAAAAAATGAAAAAGAAGAAAAAATAACACACGGTGTCGCTGTTGACCGCGGGTTTAATAGCTCTAATTTCTCCCATTTTGGGCCCCACCTGATATCTCATGTGGTACAGACCCGCCATTGCTGAAAGGAGAAACAGTAGAGTAACGTTTTAGGAAACACTGGAGATTCTCTGCCACCGGTTTTTTATTTTGAAATAAATGTAGGCTTATTTGTATACTGTAGCGCATACTATAGGTCTAGGTGACTGCGACCTTAATGCAGCGGATGTGAAGAAAATAGCAATGATTAATTTTGTTCGTATGAAATATGTCTGGATATGTTTTCTGCCGCTCCTTTGTTTATGGGATTCATCCTCTGGGCAGATTGTGTACTCCGTCCCAGAGGAGTCGAACAGGGGAACCGTAGTAGGAAATATAGCGAAGGATCTGGGTCTTAATAATAAGGAACTGGAGTCACGGATGTTTCAGCTGGTATCGGGATCCAGCAGGAGATTTTTTGAGGTAAATGTAAAAAATGGCATGTTGTTCGTGAATGAGAGAATCGACAGAGAAGAGCTGTGTCCTGGCGCCCCGAAATGCACTTTATCTTTAGAAACTATTATCCATAATCCTGTAAAACTATATCGCGTTGAAATTAATGTGTTAGATATAAATGACAACGCACCGTCATTCCTTGTCAAAACATATATGTTAAATATAAGCGAAGGCGCTATTTCCGGAGACAGATTTTCTCTACTTATGGCAGAAGATGTAGATGTAGGTAGTAACTCGGTGAAAACCTACAAGCTGAATCCAAATGAATTCTTTAGTTTGGAAATGCAGAGTGAGGGAGATCAGACTGTATCTGCGGAGTTAGTACTGCAGAAAGCATTAGACCGAGAAAAACGGGTCATAATCCCGCTCGTATTGACTGCCATCGACGGAGGAAAACCTTCCAGATCTGGGACCCTGCAGATCACTGTGAACGTTCTGGATTTGAATGACAACAACCCAGCATTTGTCAAGCCATTGTATAAGGTTAAACTGAAGGAGAATGTTCCATACGGGACGCCTGTCGTAACACTGAATGCTACCGATCCAGATGAAGGACTAAATGGGCAAATACTTTACTCAATATTTGGACAGAAAACCACACGCTTTGACATGTTCACGATTAATTCATTCACTGGTGAAATTGTCACAAAAGGGAACATTGATTATGAAGAAAACCCTGCTTTTGAAATCCGTGTACAAGCTACGGATCAAGGTTTGCATTCACGCAGCACGCAATGTAAAGTGTTGATCGAAGTAATTGACTTGAACGATAATCATCCTGAAATATCAATTACGCCATTAATTAATGATTTAAAAGAAGACACGAAAATTGGAACAGTTGTGGCGTTGATTACGATATCGGATAAAGACGGAGGTAAAAACGGAATGCTTAATTGTAATGCAGTTGATTCTTTTCCATTTAAACTCCAAACTTCGATTAAAAACTTCTATTCGCTCGAGGTTGACGGACCGCTGGACAGAGAAATTGCTAATCATTACAACGTCACCATTACAGCTACAGATGAGGGAACCCCGCTTCTCTCCAGCACCAGCGTCATTACTGTGCACATTTCCGACGTCAACGACAACGCGCCGCGTTTCCCGAGTCCTTTGATTAATATCTATGTAAAAGAAAACAGCCAGATCGGCGCCGTTATATATACCGTGTCTGCGGCTGATCCGGATGAAAATGAA